TCGCTACGAGTTTTTGGGGTTCTTATTTTTAAGTCTATTACACTTTATATGTGATCATTTCCTAACTCTTTTTATCAGAATTTAAAGGAAGATGTTCAGTTGGAGATGAAACTTAAATAAAGTTTTACGATAAAAAAAACATTAAAGACACCATAACGGGAATTATGGAATTGCTAAATCAAATAATGTTGAAACGTAAACTCCCTCTGATGGGGTCTAGAAAAACTGAAATGATTACTGCTCACTTGGAATGGAAGAAGTAAAACAGGGCGTATTACCCGGAAAAGCAGACAAGAGTTTATAAAAAATAAAAACTGCTTCCTAAGGATGACAGACAAAGAAAACAAATAAATAGGAAAACAGAGACATTACAATTGACACTGTGATGAGTTTACTAAACTTGAATATGTATGTAATTGACATTGATGAAGAGTAGACTTCGTGTAGAAACCTGCTGTAATATTAAGCTTGCTTCAAATAGTTTCCCAATCTATTACCAGGACATCCCAGGGCACAACAAGGAAGGCATTATATAACAAAAAAGGGAGATACAAATAACAGGACTTATTAGGAAGAACTTTAGATTTAGTGACTAGGTCGTGGTAGAACCAAACATTCGGAGTTGTCTTGAAGAATTATTACTTGGATGAACTTTCGTGGATCTGAAGAATAAGGATATCGTCATTAGGGTCATGAAATCAATAAATCAAGATATCCGAATAAATTATGGATGAAACATAGCAAATATGAGGTTTTACAAGTATCACTTCAATATCAAAGAACACCAGAAATCATCTTAGAAACAAGATGAAGGAAGCCTGATGTTAAATCTTCATTAAAGCTCATTTTCAGGAGTTATATAACTGCAGCTCTGAAAGTGTTAAAATTGACCAACATCAAAGATTGCTCAGAGAAAACCATGATGTCATTTCCAATAGACCTCATGATCTAGACCAGACAAGTGAAATATCTCACAAGATTAATACCAAAGTTGCGGTCTCAACACATCACTTAATCAGACTACTCCCAGTTGGAAAATAGTCTGAGGCCTTTAAATAAATAAAAGC